TTAGGTTGATTTTTCTTTGTTAAATGGCATTTAAATATATAAAATAAATATGTCTTTGATTTACTATGTTTGCAAATATCAAAATATTTCTATATGTGACACGGCACCAGAGTTAAGTTAGGGTTTTTCAAAATGCTGATATGCCGAGCTCAAAAGGTTCACCATCACTGCCCTAAAAGGATCCTGGAAGAGTGAGAGAAATAACTATCAAGAGATGTTTGGTTTAGTTTGCTTCATATGTCTATTTGACAAAAAAAATGTCTGATTTTGCCTTATCCCCAGTATCATAGCATGGGTACTAAAGGAATCTGTATAATAAGAGTGCAGAGAAACCTATATAAAAACACATATATTTAGAGCCAGATGCAAAAATAGAGCCAGAAACCTGGCTATACATCCTATACTCTGGCTCAGTAATAGGATCTTTTCATGGAATGTGCAATATCGTTGGTTTCTGACCCAGCCAGACATGAAAGTTTAGGGGAACGTCCATCCCCTAATTTCTTCCCTTCTACCTTTACTTCTTTTCTTGTTACATGATATTGGTATGGGCAGGCAAAATATATTGAAAATAGGCATTCCAGTCACATATTTATAGAATGGATTATTTCACTCCACTCATTCTTTCAATCATTTTACCTCCTAACATGAGAGAAGCAAACTAGCTATACTTTATTGTTTCACTTAGAAAAGTAAATTAGGTAAAGCTATAACCAATAAGTGAAAATGAATAAAATTAAAGTACACCAAAAACATTTTTAAAGAGAAGCTAAGTAACAAAAGGTGAAAGGTTCTATCCTTGGTTAGGTAGCTAAGCTCACAACCCATCTAGAAGCTGACAAGGAGAAGACTGAGCACCCACCAGCTCAGCAGTGGTAATCTACCTCCTAATCATGAGAAATTAGGCTGAAAGAAGTAACTTGCTTTTCAAGCCTCTCACAGTGGCTGGTCAGAAAGATCCAGTTCAAGTGTAGAATATCTATGTTACTCCAAACCTATCCTTTCTCTCCATTTACTTGTCTCCTGAGCTAGAACACAATCACACTAGTGTCCACTGACCTCTAATTCCTTGGTTAGGCTTTTGTCAATAAAAGAGCCAAAAGGAAATACAAATGGAAAAGAAGAATAGTAACATGTTTTCGCAACATCTAAGACATCACCAGCTATTTTATTATATACATACAGCTTTGAAAATCCTACCATTTCATCAATGTATCTAAAGAACCTAAATTTCAGTGTGCTACCTGGCACTTTACTCAAAGTAGAGCTTATTATGATGATTATAATAGACTAGAGGCCGGTGCACAAAAATTTGTGCACTCGGGGGTAGGGGGTCCCTCAGCCCGGCCTGTGCCCTCGCGCAGTATGGGACCCCGGGGTGACCAATTGCCAGCTTAGGCCTGCTCCCGGGTGGCAGGAGGCAGGCCCCATACCTAGGC